TTTTTTTCTTTAGAGGCAGGGTCTCTTTCAGTCTCCCAGGCTGGAGTGCAGTGGTGCAATCATACTTCACTGCAGCTTCATACTCCTGGGCTCAAGCAATCCTCTCGCCTAAGCCTCTGTAACAGCTGGGACTACAGGTGTGTGCCACCACACTCAGCTAATTTTTAAATTTTATTGTAGAGTCAGGGTCTTGCTATGTTGCACAGGCTGGTCTTGAAGTACTGGCCTCAAGTGATCTTCCTACCTCAGCCTCCTGAAATGTTTCAGTTACAGGCATGAACTGCTATGCCAGACCTATTTTCTTTTCTTTTCTTTCTTCTTCTTTTTTTTTTTTTTTTTTAAGACAGAGTCTTGTTCTGTCGCCAGGCTCCAGGCTGGAGTGCAGTGGTGCGATCTGGACTCACTGCAAACTCCGCCTCCCGGGTTCAAGCAATTCTCCTGCCTCAGCCACCTGAGTAGCTGGGACTACAGGCGTGCACCACCATGCCCAGCTAATTTTGTATTTTAGTAGAGATGGAGTTTCACCATGTTGGCTAGGAGGGTCTTGATCTCTTGATCTCGTGATCCACCCGCCTCGGCCTCCCAAAGTGCTGGGATTACAGGTGTGAGCCACTGTGCCTAGCTCTTTTTTTTTTTTTTTTTCTTTTGAGACAGACTCTCTCACCATCACCCAGACTGGAGTGCAATGGTGCGATCTCGGCTCACTGCAACCTGTGCCTCCCAGGTTCAAGCAATTCTCCTGCCTCAGCCTCCCAAGTAGCTGGGATTTCAGGTGTCCACCACCTTGCCTGGCTAAGTTTTGTATTTTTAGTAGAGACGGGGTTTCACCATTTTGGCCAGACTGATCTCAAACTCCTGACCTCAGATGATGCCCTCCTTGGCCTCCCAAAGTGCTGGGATTACAGGTGTGAGCCACCATATCTGGCCCCCTTTATTACATGTTCTGACTTATAGTCTTTCTGGTAACTTAGAGTATGTATACTTGAAGCACTATCAAGATTCTCATCTAGAAGAGAAGAGTAAGAAAAGAATAATTTGATGGAAAGAAATAGTAAGTCTTATGCTTGTAATTTCAGTACATTGGGAGGCCAAAGTGGGAGGATCACTTCAGGCCAGGAGTTGGAGACCAGTCTGGGCAACATAATGAGACTCCAGTCTCTACACACACACACACACACACACACACACACAAAATAAGCCAGGCATGGTGGCTTGCACCCTCTCATCCCTGCTACTGGAGGGGTTGGGGGAGATATGTGAGATGAAAAAAATAGCTTAAGCCTGGGAGTTCAAGGCTACAGTGAGCAGTGATTGCACCACTGAACTCCAGCCTGGGTGACAGAGTGAGACCCTGTTTCAAAAAAAAAAAAAAAAAAAAAAAAAAGAGAGAAAGGAAAAGGAAATACTAAGTATCTGTCATATTTATTTTAAATGTATTAATGGCATTGTCTCATAGACTCCTAGTTCTGGAATACTTAAATCTTGTTTCTTTTTTCAAATATATTTTTTCAATTTTTTGGGCTAATCTCCCTTCTATGTGCTCCTGAAGTGAGCACTGTTTCTTTCCTTTTATTACACAGTTTAAAGTTTTGTCAACTTTTATTCTGTGATGACTCCCAGATTTACTTTGTTCATTTTTTATTTCTTTGCTGTTTTCAGAAAATGATATATTTAGTTAGTTTAGGGTTTTATCACTACACATGTAGACTACTATAATAACTTTTAGATTCTTTTAGATTGCCTCTGTTTTATTTATTTTTATTTTTTTATTTTTTATTTTTTTGAGACACAGTTTTGCTCTTGTTGCCCAGGCTGGAGTGCAATGGCATGATCTTGGCTCACCACAACCTCCGCCCCCCAGGTTCAAGCAATTCTCCTGCCTCAGCCTCCTGAGTAGCTAGGATTACAGGTGTCTGCCACTATACCCAGCTAATTTTTGTGTTTTTAGTAGAGATGGGGTTTTACCATGTTGGCCAGGATGGTCTCCAACTCCTGACCTCAACTGATCCACTCACCTCAGCCTCCCAAATTGTTGAGATTACAAGAGTGAGCCATCACACCAGCCTGGATTGTTGCATTTAAAATTTTTGTTTATTATTTCCCAATTTATTTGTTTTGAAACAAGGTCTTACTCTGTCACCCAGGCTGGAGTGCAGTGGCATTATCATGACTCACTGCAGCCTCAGTCTCCTGGGCTCAAATGATACTCCCATTTGCTGGGATTACAGGCTTGAGCCACCGCGCCCGGCAAACTTGAATTTTTTAAATAGTAGGTTTGTTGAAGAGCAGCCAGTGATAGAGAAATGTCATAGGGCAAAGTGTGGAAAAGTTAAATGTAATACACTGGGGGAAACTTAGCAGGCCCTTCTGTTTAGATTCCTCTTTGTGCCCCTGTGCTTTTGGAGGTAAGGATGCTCCTTTTCTCTGGGTGCAGGGAGAGCACCTCTTACATGACGGGCTTATGATTTACTTCAGGGGAAGGTCAGAAAATCCTTCCTAGGCTTTGTGGCTGCTTCTGGGGAGAAGGGCAGGCAGAAGGTCAGAGTCACTTTCCTGCTTCTGCAGTTTCCTCAAATGCCTCCAGCTTAAAATATTCAATTTGTCAAGGTGCTGTATTTTGTGTAGGGCGTCCTGAACCTTGCCACTAACCTCTAACTGAAAGTTAGGATGAAATTTCTCAATGTAGTTCATAAACCACAGTGATATTAGCAATACTTCATCATCAAAAGAAAACCCAGATATTTTCATATCACATTACTTTTTTGCATCTGTTTTCGTTACGCTCACCACTACTTCAAATTTAGGATAGCTAGTACCTCTTATTTAATGCATTTATAAAGATGCATGTATATTAGTGTATAAGAAACATATTTAACATTTTAATAACTGTATTTCAATAATAATTGGCTTCCTTTGTAATCCTATATGTTTTATGCATTTAAAAACATGATTCTGAGAAGGCATTCATAGGCTTTATCAGATTGCTAAAGACTAAGAACCCATGTTTTTGTTCTACTTTCAAATACTTGTGGATTAAAAAATATATGTTAAAAACTGAAAAGTAGGCTAGGTGAAGTGGCTCATGCCTAGCACTTTGGGACGCCGAGGTGGGTGGATCACCTGAGGTCAGGAGTTCGAGACCAGCCTGGCCAACGTGGCAAAACGCTGTCTCTACTAAAAATGTAAAAATTAGCTGCGGGTGGTGGTGTGCACCTGTTATCCCAGCTGCTTGGGAGATTGAGGCAAGAGAATCTCTTGAACTGGGTAGGCGAGGTTGCAGTGAGTTGAGATGGCACCATTGCACTCCAGCCTGGGCAACAGAGGGAGACTCCGTCTCAAAAAAACAAAAATACCCCCACAAAACTGAAAACTAATCAACTAAATACTTTTTAACTATAATATCTACAATATTCTCTACACCTTTGATGATAACCATGTATTATGGTATTATGTTTTTATATTTAGCAAATCTTGTTCCTTAAAATGCGCTTTATGGAGAAGGAGCCAGACTTAATGAAATTAGTTTAGGTCAGTTCAGGATACATTAATGACATTATCCCACACATTGTTCATGCCTATGACATGAACTTAAGAAATTTAAGGTTCCTCCTGCCTGCTTAGATGCATTTACTTATCTAGAGCAGTTGTGAGGAAGATCCATTTGAATCAGATAAAAATATAAGCAGTGGAGTATCGGTTATTTTATTCCAGTTGGCTCAATTATTTGCCAAGAAAAGGTCTTGGTCAAATTGTTGATGGCTAGGTCAAAATAATTTGGACTAGTGTATTAAATTGTTGATCATTAAAATAATTCTTCCAAAGTGCCTGTCTTTTATGCATTTGTTTTCTTTAACATGATTTAATTTAAAAACATTTATTGAATCCTCTTTTTTTTAAGACAGAGTCTGGCTCTGTCACTCAGGCTGGAGTGCAGTAGCGCGATCACAGCTCACTGCAGTCCTGACCTCCTGGGCTCACATGATCCTCCTGTCTTAGACATCTGCTTAACAGGGACCATAGGCACACACTGCCATTCCTAGCTAGTTTCCCTTTAATTTTTGTGGAGACAGGTTCTCACTATGTTCCCCAGGCTGGTCTTGAACTCCTGGGCTCAAGGCGATCCTCCTACCTTGGCCTCCCAAAGTGTTGGGATTACAGGTGTGAGCCACCACACCCGACGTGTTAAATCCTTTTATGTGCAAAGATACAATCTGAGCCCTTAGGACATTTGTAGCCTAATATTTTCTTTTTGTTTGTTTGTTTCTTTTTTTTTTTTTTAATTTTTACTTTTATTTAGCCTAATATTTTCTTCCATCAAAGTTGCTAAAGCCCATCACCAGAATACCACAATTAATATTTTCAGGAAAGAGTATTAATAGTTGCCTAGGAATAAGAATGGTATGTGGCAATGATAGACATTTGAAATGGCAGATTTATTAAGTACTTTTAAGCCATAAAGTTACAAGAGGCTGTTAGGGGTCTTAAAAAGACAAACAGTATACAATAAAACAATGAGAAATGACAGATTGTTTTAGGTTGAACAATTTTTATACAGTTTTATCTATAGTACATTACTAATTTACTTAGCAAACTTTTCCTGAGATTTGCAAAGTTAAAAAAATGAAGAATCAAATTATATTTTCTTTTCTTCTTTTTTTTTTTTTGAGACAGTCTCCACTCTGTCACCCAAGCTGGAGTGCAGTGGTGTGATCTCAGCTCACTGCAGCCTCAACCACTTGGGTTCAAGGATTCTCCTGCCTCAGCCTTCCAAGTAGCTGGGATTACAGGCATGCACCACCATGCCCAGCTAGTTTTTTGTAGTTTTAGTAGAGAGGGGGTTTCACCATGTTAGCCAGGCTGATCTTGAACTCCTGGCCTCAAGGTGATCTGCCCACCTTGGCCTCCCGAAGTGCTGGGATTACAGGCGTGAACCACCACGCCCAGCCTCAAACTATATTTTCTTAATAGTACAGTAAATATACATTAATCATGACACAATTATTTATTCTGGATACAGCAGGAAAAATTAAGAGAAAGTGCTTCACATTTCTTGATTTGTTATAAAACGAAGAGATCCTCTAGATTTCTGGGTAAGAGGGGTAACTAGCAATCCCACAGTGGTTTCCTTTATTTCTTGCCATCCGAATATATCCTTGTTCACCAAAGTTGCTGCCCCAGCTTTAGAAAAAGAAATATTACAAAATTACAAATACATACAATCAAATAATATTATCAACTTTTTTTTCATATTATCAACTTTTTATCTCATTGTTTTTCCTCTATAAGTGATTACATATGAAAGGCTGTAAAACAAAATTAGAATGAAATAATATAATAATTTCTCTAGGGATTTCAGGCAAATTTAAATATGGGTTTGGAAAGCTTTAGTGCTATATTGATGAATAGACTTAATACCGAGGGAAAACTATAGTAAGATCCATCCCAGTTCTTTAATCCTCCTACTTTAAAAATATGCCTTCTCTAAGGAAAGAGTATTAGTATCCTTTTTTTTTTTTTTTTTTTTTTTTTTTTTGAGACGGAGTTTCACTCTTGTTACCCAGGCTGGAGTGCAATGGCGCGATCTCGGCTCACCGCAACCTCCGCCTCCTGGGTTCAGGCAATTCTCCTGCCTCAGCCTCCTGAGTAGCTGGGATTACAGGCAAGTGCCACCATGCCCAGCTAATTTTTTTGTATTTTTAGTAGAGACGGGGTTTCACCATGTTGACCAGGATGGTCTCGATCTCTCGACCTCGTGATCCACCCGCCTCGGCCTCCCAAAGTGCTGGGATTACAGGCGTGAGCCACCCGAAACTCCGTCTCCAAAAAAAAAAAAAAAAAAAAAAAAAAAAGACTTTATCTCTAAATTTTTTGATACCAGTATCATGGGTAATGATTTTCTATCAAACTTAAATTCCTCTATAGAACGTCAATTAAGAAATATTTTTGAGTGACTAATATGAAAAAGGTATAGGGCAGGGAATTCTAAAGTAAACAATAAAAATGCAACTCTGAAAGAGCTTTTTGATCTGTAAGTGGAGCTGAGATAAGACTTTCTCGTAATTAAAGCTATTGAAAAATGAGCCAAGCATGGTGGCGCTCACTTGTAATCCAAGTGCTTTGAAAAGCTGAAGTGGGAGGATTGTTTGAGGCCAAGAGTTTGAAACCAGCCTGGACAATATAGCAAGACCCTGTCTCTACCAAAAAAAAAAAAAAAGTTTTTTTGAGATGGAGTCTCACTGTTTCCCAGGCTGAAGTGCAGTGGCACAATCTTGGCTGACTGCAACCTTTGTCTCCTGGGTTAGAGCAATTCTCCTGCCTCAGCCTCCTAAGTACCTGGGATTACAGGTGTGTGCTACCACATCCAGCTAATTTTTATATTTTTGGTAGAGACGGGGTTTTACCATATTGGTCAGGCTGGTCTTGAACTCCTAACTTCAGGTGATCCACCCACCTCAGCCTCCCAGAGTGTTGGGATTACAGGTATAAGCCACCATGACTAGCCCAAAAATTTGTTTTTAAAAATTAGCCAGGCATAGTGGCTGTATTCCTTAGCTACTCGGTAGGCTGAAGTGGGGAGGGTCACTTGAACCCAGGGATTCGAGATTACAGTGAGCTATGATTGCACCACTGCATTCCTGACACTCCAGCCTGACCCTGTCTCAAAAAAAAAAAAAAAAAAAAGAAAGAAAGAAAAAGCAAAGAAAAGAAATATTTCTGCCTGGCACTGGAAGTGTTCAAGCAAGCGGAATTTACTTCGTAGAGATGCTACAGATGGAATTCATGGGTCAGATTAGGGTTGGAGGTGATCAGTGTTTCACTTTTTGATTACATGGACTTAGAGGAGTTCAGAAAGTTTTTACAGATTGATATATACTTATCAATTTAAAAACCATACTATTGGCTGGGCACGGTGGCTCATGCTATAATCCCAGCACTTTGTGAGGCCAAGACGGGTGGATCATTTGAGGTCAGGCGTTTGAGACCAGCCTGGCTAACATTGTGAAAACCCGTCTCTACTAAAAATAAAAAATTAGCAGGGCGTAGTAGCATGTGCCTGAGTCCCAGCTACTTGAGAGGCTGAGGCAGGAGGCTTGAACCCAGGAGGCAAGGTGGAGGTTGCATTAAGCTGAGATTGCACCTCTGCATTTCAGCCTGGGTAGCAGAGTGAGACTCTGTCTCAAAAAAAGAAAATAAATAAAAATCATACTACTAACTATCACCATCGTGTTGTAAAAGAAAAGACATTTTAACAGCAAAAGCAAAAAATCCAAAGATATAATCTCTATTTTAAAGATAGTCTTTTGAGTAAATTCAGACTTATGAAAAAGTCACCAAAATATTTTTATTTTTCTTATTTTACCAAGACTGATGAAAAAACTGACAAAATCCTTTTAAGAGAAATGATTTCTGAAGCTCTTTATGATTCTGAGGTTTTGTAGTGGTAGATATCATTCAAGGCAGAATTCATTAAGTGCTCTAGGATACAAATAAAAGCATGAAATTGAGAAAATGCCTAGTGTATCTGGAGTGTAAGAAATTTGGTTGAAAGGAAAATCGGATATTTTTAGAATAATAGTGGGAAAAAAAAGACAGAAAGCTGGTTTGGGGCCATCCTGTGAACAGCTTAGAACTGCACGTGGAGGAACATGTACTTCAATTACATAGGCAAAAGGAAGAAGCTGTTACAAATTTTGGCTCAGGGACTCAAAGGTTGTGTTTTTGCATGCAGTGGAGAACCTAAGAAATGCTGGTTTATTGCTGGCAGACAAATGATACCATTTAAAAGGACTGTGCTTTAAGAAGCCTTAAATACTCTATGTATCAGCCCTCACTGGACCATTTGCAGGTCCTATTTTTATCTCTCTGTATCATTTAACACAGTTGCCTACTCCCACCTCACTGGTCTTTTGGCCTTAAGACACTACTCTGTTCTGATTTTCTCATCTGTCTCTGGTCACTCCTTCTCAAACATTTTCATGAGCTCCTTTCTCTGCTGCCTTTCACTTAGTTGCCACTCCACTGCTTAGAAATATTCAATGGCTCTCCGTACCTTTACAATAAAATTCAAACTCCATCATCACCTCTAATAAGTCAATGGCTGCACTGTTTTTATTTGTTTTTTTTTTTTTTTTTCGGACAGAGTCCCACCGTGTGGCCCAGGCTGGAGTGTGGCTGCAGCTATGACCTCCTGAGCTTAAGCAATCCTCCTGCCTCAGCCTTCCAAGTAGCTAGGACCACAGCTGCATACTACCATGCTCAGCTAATTTTTTATTTTTAGTAGAGAAGAGGTCTCACTATGTTGCCCAGGCTGTAGCAACGTTCTTTTAATATCTAATTTGATAACAAAAGCAATAAAAATTGTCTGGCCAGGCTATTATTAATAGCTACCATTTATTTAGCACTTACTCTGTGCCAAACAGATTCACATAAATTATCTAATTTAATCATCATTCTGTGAGGTTAGTATTATCTTCTTTTAATAAAGAAAAAAACAGAAGGGCAGAGTGGTAAAGTGGCTTGCCAAATGCCACATAGATGGTAAACTGTGAAGCCAGAGTTCAAATCTAGGATTGTTTTATTCCAAAGCACACTCTATAACTTTTATACTCCTGCCTATCCCTGTAGTAATCTTTGTGAGTGAAGTCAAATTCAGATCAGAACATCTAGGATGTCATGTAATTTACATCTTACTATGGTCACTGCCTTAAATAATAGATAAAATAAATGATTTTAGATGAACTGAGCTTGGACCTGAGTTCTAGTATGAAAATTGAATTGAGGGTCTAGTTACTAGCAGTATGAATTCATTCAATGAGACCAAGGAATCCGAGACCCCATTCAACATCTGGACAACTTACTTTTCTCAGTTTTACAGATCAAGATCAGCTGCCCCTAATTTTGCAAAAGACCTCATACCTCTTTTTGACTGAGTCCTGCTAACTTCACTTAAACAATGAAACTGATTAAAAAAAGCTTAAGCTAAATAAAATATCTGAGGACAAATTCTTGCCTTCAGAACTATACAAGGTCTGTTCCAAATGTTAATTTCAGTACTTACCAAGTTGTATATTTTTATTGATTCTATAGCCCTTTCACTCAAACTGTTCAAATTTGGGTAAGTTTGCTAACTAAATGTCTCTCATAGGAGTACTTTAAAAATTAAATGAGAAAATGTATTTAAAGTACTTGCACAATATTTGGTACATAGCCAATGCTTACTAAGTGAAGGTAGCTATTTTTATCATTATCCAGGTATGAGTCCATCTGATTGAACTCAAGTAGAGTCTGTCTACTTTATTTATTTATTTATTTATTTTTTAATTGAACTTTATTTATTTATTAAAAAATTTTTTTTTTAATAAGAAAAAGAATAAAGAAGAGGAAGAAAGAGAAGGAGGAAGAGGGAGAGAGGATGGGGGTATTGCTTTATTGCCCAGGGTAAAATGCAATCTAAATATAGGTATGCCTATAATTGTCCTTAATAATGGAGATATAAAAGAAAATGAGGGAAGAGAATAACAAACAAGGAGCCAACCAACATTTCGTTTAAACTTCTAAGTTGATATGATGTGGTACTGATCTACGTATTCCTATATTGGGTGCATATATATTTAGGATCTTTAGCTCTGCTTGTTGTTGCATTGATCCTTTTATCATTATATAATGTCCTTCTTTGCTTCTTTTGATCTTTGTTGCTTAATTGTAACTTCTGCTTTTTATTTATTTATTTTAGCTCTCTGTTTGGTTGGTAAATCCTTCTCCATCCCTTGTTTTGAGTCTTTGTGTATCCTTGAATGTGAGATGGGTCTGGATGCAGCATACTGATGGGTTTTAGTTTTTTATTCAAATTGCCTGTCTGTCTTTGGATTGGGGGATTTAGTCAATTTAAATTTAGAATTAATAATAATATATGTGAGTTTAATACTGCCACTTAATATTAGCTGGCTATTTTGCCCATTAGTTGATGTAAATTCTTCATTATATTGATGCTCTTTTTGGTATTTTTTTAGAAAGGCTGATACTGTTTGTTCCTTTCTATGTGTAGTGGTTCTTTCAGAAGCTCTTGTAAAGCAGGCCTGGTGGTGATGAAATCTCTGAGTGCTTGCTTATTCACAAAAAACTTTATTTTTCCTTCACTTGTGAAGCTTAGCTTGGCTGGATGTGAAATTCTGGGTTGAAAGTTCTTTTCTTTAAGGATATTGAATATCGGTCCCCACTCTCTTCTGGCTTGTGGGGTTTCTGCTGAGAGATCTGCTGTAAGTCTGATAGGCTTCCCTTTGTGAGTAACCTGACTTTTTCTGGCTGCCCTTAGTATTTTCTCCTTCATTTCAACCCTGGTGAATCTGACGATTATGTGCCTTGGAGTTGCTCCTCTTGAGGAATATCTCTGTGGTGTTCTCTGTATTACCTGGAGTTGAATATTATCCTGCCCTACTAGGTTGGGAAAATTTTCCTGAATAATGTCCTGAAGCATATTTTCCAGCTTGGATTCATTCTCTTCGTCACATTCAGGTACACCTATCAAGCGTAGATTAGGTCTTTTCACATAGTCCCATATTTCTTGGAGATTTTGCTCGTTTCTTTTTGTCCTTTTTTCTCTAATCTTGTCTTCTTGTTTTATTTCATTGAGTTGGTCTTCGACCTCTGATATCCTTTCTTCTGCTTGATCAATTCGGCTGTTAAAACTTGTGCATACTTCACGAAGTTCTCGTATTGTGTTTTTCAGCTCCATTATTTCACTTATATTCCTCTCTAAATTGTGTATTCTTGTTAACATTTCGTCAAATCTTTTTTCAAAGTTCTTAGTTTCTTTAGATTGTGTTAGAACAAGTTCTTTTAATTCACAGAAGTTTCTCATTATCCACGTTTTGAAGCCTGCTTCTGTAATTGGAACACACTCGTTCTCCATCAAGCCTTGTTTTGTTGCTGATGAGGAACTGTGATCCCCTGCTGAGGGAGAGGCGTTCTGATCTTGGGTATTCTCAGCCTTTTTTGGCTGTTTTCTTCCCTTCGTTTTAATTTTATCCATCTGTGGTCTTTGTATTTACTGTCTTTGTAATTGGTTTTCTGAGTGGACGTCCAACTTATTGATTCTCAGCGCCGAAATCTGAGCAACCCACTGCGCCGACTAAATCAGCGGCGTTAAGATTGATGCTGCTTTTCTGATTCTGCACCAAGAACCGACGCTCCAAGTCACCGGCAAAACCGCCTCGCCCGTCACAAGAGTCACGCTGGCGACCCGTGGAGCTCCTCCGCTGGGAATCTCCTGGTGCGTGAGCGACAAGAATTCATGTGAAGGTATGGTGTCCTCTCGTTCTTTGCGCTTTCACTGGGAGCTACAATCCCAAGCTGCTAGTGATCAGCCATCTTGGATCTCTCTCCGAGTCTGTCTACTTTAAAACATATATAGCCTTCTTCTAGGGTGACCACCAGTCCCAGTTTGCCTGGGACTGTCCTGGTTTTAAAAGGAAAGTCCTATGTCCCAGAAAGCCTCATCCCATAGCCCTTAGCAAAGTGGAAAAGTTGGTCATCCTACCTTCTGCCTGCATACCGTACGGCTACTAACTTATTAGACTTCTAAAATCGATGCCAGTTTCCTTTGTAATAGGCTGAAGCCCAGGGTTTCTTAGGCTGTGCCAGACACTCTCCTAGGCATTAGTATTACAGAGACAAAGTCTTTCTAAAGACTAGGTTCTAGAGAGGAAACATACAATAAACAAAGAAATATTTGGTATAATATGATACGTGCAATAAAGAAAAATAAAGCAGGATAAAGGATACAGAGTGTTAGGAGACAGGGCTCAATTTTAGGTGGAATGGTCGGGTCGGGAAAAGCTTAGCCTCACAAACAAACATGCAAGTGAAGCAAAGACCTAGATAAAGAGCTGGGAATAGGCGTGGTGTGTCTGAGAAACAGCAAAAAGGCTAGTGTGCCAGGAGCTGAGTGAGAGAGGGGAGAGTAGTTGGAGAGGTGGTTGGAGAGGCAAGCTAAGGCCAGATGATGTCATGCTTTACAGGTCATGGGTTTTATTGTAAGTGGGAAGGAAAGCCATTCAAGAGTTTGGGGTGGGAGGGTAACATAATCTACTTTATGCTTTAAAAGATAATTTTGGCTACTGTGTAGAGGATTGATTGCAAGCAAACAAGAGGGAAGCAGCTACCTGTTATGAGATTATTGCAATAGACCAGGAGATAGATGGTGGCTTGAGGTATAATAGTAACATTAGAAGTATTGAGAAGATTTGAGGGGTGTTACGGGTTGCATTGTATCCCCCCAAAATTCATGTTGGAATCCTAACCTCCAGTACCTCAGAATGTGGTCTTATTTAAAGATAGTGTTGATGTGGACATACTTAACTAAATTAAAATAAGGTCATTAGCGTGGGTCCTAACCAACATGGCTGATGCTCATGAAAAGGGAAAACTGGCCAGGCACGGTGGCTCACACCTATAATCCCAGTGCTTTGGGAGACCAAAGCAGGAGGATCACTTGAGCCCAGGAGTTTGAGACCAGCCTAGGAAACAGCAAAATCCTGTATCTACAAATACAAAAAAATTAGCCTGGTGTGGTGGTGCATGCCTGTAGTCCCAGCTACTTTGGTGGCTAACGTGGGAGGATTGTTTGAGCCCAGGAGTTTGAGGCTGCAGTGAACACTGATCACCCCACTGCACTCCAGCCTAAGTGACAGAGTGAGATTCTGTCTCAAAAAGAGGGAAAACAGTAAAATTATGAATAGAGACAGAAATGCATACAGGGAGAATGTCATGTGAAAATGAAGGCAGAGTTCAGGGTGATGGTTCTTAAACACCGAGGGAAGTCAGAGATCATCAGCAAACTTTCAGAAGCTAGGGGAGAGCCATCAAACCTATATTTTTTAAATTAAAAGAATATATTTAATTGACACAAATTGTATAAACTGAAAGTGTACAGTGCACATTGTGCAATGATTGCCATAATCAAAGGAAATAACGCATCCATCTCCACCCATGCTGTACCTTTGATTCCCAGAACTTGTTTATCTTCTACCTGAAAGTTTAAACTCTTTGATCAATATCTCCTCATTTCCCCAGCCTCCAGTCACTGGCAACTATCATTCTACTGTCTGTTTCTGTAAGTTTGACTTTTTTAGATCCCACATATAAGATCATACAGTGTTTTTTCTTCCTGTGTCCACGAACATTTTCTTCCTCACAATGTGAGAAGGAAGTAACCTTGCCAACACCTTGCTCTTACACTGCCAGCCTCCAGAACTGGGAGACATAAATTTCTGTTATTTAAGCTGCTCAGTTAATGGCACTTTGGGTTATGGCATTCATAGCAAACTAACACAAAGAGAAACTCCAGGTGTGCCCCAAAGACTCAGTCTTCATATTTCCTCTGTTTTTTACCTCTAGAAGTTATGTTCCTTTTGTTTATGAGTGATATAGATGTCAGTTAAATACATGTATTGAGAAGCCTTTAGGTGCCACCCACTCAGTCTGCACTGCGGATATGAAGACAAGACGTAATACCTCCCCAAAGGCACTTACAGAACATTGGAGTGACAGACAGGTAAATATGCAATTTAAAGATGATACCTAAAATGCTGTGATCCAGCATGCACAGGGCATTTTGGCAGCATAGAAAAAAGACATTTTGCGCAGCCCAAGGATTCAGGCAAGCCTTTCTGGAATAGACGATGCCTGAGCTGCTTCTGAAGAAAAGGAGACGTAAACCAAAAGAGAAGACAGGATGTTCCAGGCAGAGGGAACCCAGAAATGAAGGAAGGTATTATAGATAAAGTGAAAGGTATGGGAACTGCAACTATGGGTAACACAGCATAACCAGAGTGAAAAGCAGGAAGCAACAAATGCCAGGAGGTGAGGCTGGCAAGGGAGCACAGCTACAGGACGTGCCCTCTGTCAGGGAACATTGATTTTATACCAAATGAGACTCAGTAGAAGAGTTCTAAGCCCAGACTCATTCATATTTTAGACAAATCAGTTTGGCAGCAGTATGAAAGAGGGATTTGAGGGTAAAGGGGAAGAAAAGAGAGAGTAAAGGAGACCAGTTAGAAGGGCACAGCAATAGTCCACACCAGAATAGCCCACACCAGAACAGTCCACACCAGCGAGGTCTGAAGGAGAGCCGCAAGAGAAGAAAGAGAGAAGGGACAGGATCAAGGACACAGATGAGGCAGAATGGTTTGACTAATTGGCTGCTTGGTTGGACTTGGGGAGATCTCAGATGAATCCATCATATCTTACCGGCTGACTCTGCTGTGTGGCCCCTTACTGATACAGGAAATTCCGAAGGAGGAACAATATGGGGGAGAGAGTCCTGAATTATTTGGACGTATTGAGTTTAGAGAGACTAAGATACGTGTAAGTGAGTGTGTCTACGTAAGTCCGAAGTTCTGGGAAGATGTCAGAGCTAGAGCTAGAGATTCGAAAGCCACTGGAATATATAGGTTATAGCTAGAGTCCTAAGAGTGGAATTGTGGCACCCTAGAAAAAGTAGAATAAGAAGAGGAATGGGCAGAGGATAGAGCCCTGGGAAAATACCAACATTTTTGGGCTAAACAGAGGAATAGGTTCATAAGAGAGGCTGAGAAGGAATAATCAGAGAAGTGCGACAGAAAACAAACCATGAAAACAAAGTGATGAAGGCAGAATCGTAGGTGAAAAGATGGGGGCACTGAATAATTTAGAATCTCACTTTGCGAGAAGCTATAAAGTTCATCATTGTCAACATCGTGATCATCATCATCATCAAAATCATAAGAAAGCGCTTGCTGAAACTCCCTCAAATTCCTGATTCCAATTAAATATAAAGTATAAATATATTACCTGTTTTTCACAAGCCAGTATTCTTTCCCATTAAGGTCACCATAGCCAATCACAAGTACACCATGATTCACCTTCTGAGTACAGGCTGGGTCATAGTAGACACCTGAGAATCAAATATGGGTGGGAAAAAAGTGAATGCTACAGGATAATAAAGGACACTTTACAATGGGATTACTTTTTATTAGCCTTATTTGGATACACAGCAAGGTTAATTTGAAAAGTTAAGGACATACACACTTATGTGTAAACTAGGGCTCACAATTATTTGCCATCAATGCTATATTTTTCAGTATTCATGTCAAGCTGAGCATCACTCTAATCATAGTTCCCCCAGAAACCTTCTTTGATAAGCACACCACTTTTTTCTAAGTTTTTTCTTTTATTTTTTGTTTTCTTCCTATTTTTAAACTTGAAACCATCAGTTATTGTAATTCTGTGTGTATACAGGCATATCTCATTTTATTGTGCTTTGCTTTATTGTGCTTCATAGATATTACCTTTTTTTTTTTTTTTAAGGACCAGAGTTTCGCTCTATTGTCTAGACTATAATACAGTGGTATGATCACAGACGACTGTAACCTCAGCCTCCTAGGCTCCAGTCATCCTTCTGCCTTGACCACCCAAAGCGCTGAGATTACAGGCATGAGCCACTGCACCTAGCCAGACATTGCATTTTTTTACAAATTGAAGGTTTGTGGCAATTCTACATTCAGCAAGTCTATTGGTACCATTTTTCCAAAAACATGTGCTCATGTTATGTCCTTGTACCATATTTTGGTAATTCTCACAATATTTCAACCTTTCTCATCATTATTATTTCTGTTATAGTCATCTGTGATCAATGATCTTTGATGTTAATATGATAATTTTGGGGGTGAGCTACAAACCACATCTATATAAGATAGCAGACTTAACCCACAAATGTTGTGTGTGTTCTGACTGATCCACAGACTGGCTACACTCCTGTCTCTCTCCTCAGGCCTCCCTATTCCCTGAGACACAATGATATTGAAATTATGCCAAATAATAACCTTATGATGGTTCCTCAGTGTTCAAGTAAAAAGAAGAGTTGTGTATCTCTCGCTTTAAATCAAAAGCTAGAAGTAATTAACCTTATTGAGAAAGGCATGTTGAAAGCCAAGACAGGCCAGAACCTAGCCTAGGCCTCTTGTACCAAACAGTCAGCCATGCTGTGAATGTAAAGGAAAACTGCTTGAAGGAAATTAAAAATGACAAGAAAACATGAAACAGTCTTATTGCTGATATGCAGAACATTTGAGTGGTCTAGATAAAAGAGTAAACCTACCAAGCATGCCCTTACGCCAAAACCTAATCCAGAACAGGACCCTAACTCTCTTCTATTGTTAGAAGGCTGAGAGAGGTGAGGAAGCTACAGAAGAAAACTTTGAAGCCAGCAGATGTTGGTTCATGAGGTTTAAAATTCCCTCCCTCCCTCCCTTCCTCCTTCTCTTTCTTCATTCCTTCTTTCTTTCTTTTTCTCTTGTTTTTTAGAGACAGGTTTTCACTCTGCTGCCCAGGTTGGAGCACAGTGGTATAATCATACCTCACTATAACCTCAAACTCCTGGGTTCAAGCAATCCTCCCACCTCAGCCTCCCAAGTAGGTGAGACTACAAGTGTGTGCCACCATACCCAGCTAATTTTTATTTTTTGTAGAGATAAGGGTCTCCCAATGTGGCCCAGGCTGGTGTCAAACTCCCAGATTGCTCAAGCAATCCTCCCACCTTAGCCTTCCAAAGCGTCAGAATTACAGGCATGAACCACCATGCTTAGCCAATATTCTTTCTTTCTTTAAATTCTTTTTTGAGATGGAGTTTCACTCTTGTTGCCCAGGCTAGAGTGCAATGGTGTGATCTTGGCTCACCACAACCTCTGCTTCCCGGGTTCAAGCAATTCTCCTGCCTCAGCCTCCTGAGTAGCTGGGATTACAGGCATGTGTACTACCATGCCTGGCTAATTTTGCATGTTTAGTAGAGACAGGCTTTCTCTATGTTGGTCAGTCTGGTCTTGAACTCCTGACCTCAGGTGATCCACTGCCTCAGCCTCACAAAGTCTTGGGATTACAGCCACTGCACCTGGCCTTCTTTCTTTAAATTCTTATTGTTTTTTATTTATTTATTTATTTATTTTTACCACTTCTGTAGAGGAAGAAGGAAGGATGACTTGCATCTACTCCAACACACACTGGGCCTTTATTGGCCACAGCTTCTTTCAGGACATCTTCTCTGCCATACGGAAGTTCAGTGTACTTTGAACATGTGGCAGCACGATATTTTGAGTCATACTGACATTTCTGATCCTGCAAAAAGAAGTATAAACCAGATAAAGAAGTATACTTCAACTCCTTTATAAATCACCAATATCCATAGCCTGGATTTTAAACATGTCTTCTTTCCTTAATCTTTTCATGTGTCTAAGGCTCCTTCCTTTGCAAATCTTCCAAATACTAACAATCCCAGGTTTCACCAATAATGGGGGAAATACAGAACTATTCTATTCTTTCAAATTGTGAACATCTTCATACATGCAAAATTTGCCAGGACAATGTCCCCTCAGACTCTGAGGTAGACTGTAGGGAAGTATTACATAGAGATAATAAACTCTAGGTGAGAGCTTTAAAATTTTTTGATGCCTGCAAGATGATTTGCCGTTAAAATGATGGTCTATAAAGACCATGTAATATGGGAAACACAAGTGTATTTCAAGTGGGAAAAGGAAAGTTACAAATTCATGTTTGTTGTATATACAACTGTTTTGTATTTAGTTATTTATATTATTTATTTTTTTAAGACAGGCCCTCACTCCATTGTCCAGGCTGGAGTGCAGTGGCACAATCATAGCTCGCTGCAGCCTGTTGCCGCCGTCTCCTGGGCTCAAGTGATTCTCCCGCCTCAGCTTCTTGAGTAGCTGAAACTGCTACAAAGGTTCACACCCCCATGTTTGGCCAATTTTTTTTAATTTTTAGTAGAGGTGAGGTCTCGCGATGTTGCATAGGCTGGTCTCAAACTCTTGAGTTCAAGCAAGCCTCCCAGCTCAACCTTCCAAAGTGCCAAGATCACAGGCATGAGCCACTACACCTGGCCAACTTCGTTTTGTAAGTGCTTTCACAGGAAAATAACTTGAAAGAAATAAACCAAAATAATAGTGGTTAAGGTAGAAGGTTTTTGAGTAATATTTTTATCTTTAAAAAATCTTCTGTAACATGACATAATCCTTAGGTTATTGTTATCACAATCTCTATAATATCATTTGATAAAATGTATAATAAATCTGCAAGGAAGAGGAAGGCATTATTTAGCTTCTCAGTAGGTGGAAGAAAGAAGTCGTTAATGATCTGAGAATAAGGTTGAGCAGGGGAGGCTTCAGAAGAAAAAGCTTAAATACATAGAAATAATTTTAAGGATAGTTTGCTTAAAATCTGTCTTTTTTTTTTTTTTTTTTTTGAGACTGAGTCTTGCTCTGTTGCTGAGGCTGGAGTACAGTGAACTGATATTGGCTCACTGCACCTCCGCCTCCTGAGTCCAAGTGATTCTCCTGCCTCAGCCTCCCAAATAGCTGGGAACACAGATGTGCGCCAACACGCCCGGCTAATTTTTGTATTTCTGGTTGAGATGGGGTTTCACCATGTTGGCCAGGTTGGTCTCAAATTCTTGACCTCAGGTGATTCACCCACCTCGGCCTCCCAAAGTGCTGGGATTACAGGTGTGAACCACTGCGCCCGGCCATTAAAATCCGTTTTTAAGCATGAATGCTACTTTTTGTACTAATGATACATTAAGAAGAGTACTTCATCAGAAAGAGAACTTTTGAGAATTTAAGAATTTCTGGCTGGGCAAGGTGGCTCACACCTGTAATCCCAGCACTTTGGGATTCACCTGTCCCAGGGCGGACAAGTCACGAGGTCAGAAGATGGAGACCATCCTGGCTAACACAGTAAAACCTCGTCTCTACCAAAAATACAAAAAAGTAGCTGGGTGTGGTGTCGGGGGCCTGTAGTCCCAGCTACTCATGAGGCTGAGGCAGGAGAATCACTTGAACCCAAGAGGCGGAGGTTGCAGTGAGCTGAGATTGTGCCACTGCATTCCAGCGTGGGTGACAGAGTGAGACTGTCTAAAAAAAAAAAAAAAAAAAAAAAAAATTCCTCTTCAGGGTTTTATCTCACACATAATACTGCTTCTCAAGCAATTGATGTGGTGGCAAGCCCAGTGCAGTCAGTCAATGGATAACATAAAGTCATGCAGCAACACAAAAAGTTTGCCTGTGACGCACCGTGGCTTTGTAGGGATAGGAAGCTTCTGAGTCAATGCCTTTGTTATCAATGATGTACTGGAAAGCCTCTGTCATGAAGCCACCATTGCAACCTTTGTTTCCATATTTTTCAGAGCAATCCACCAGGTTCTGGGCACTGAGAGACACCAGCTTTCCTGTTTTCAGCTTCAGCTGTGCTTCCAGGGCCCCCACAGCACTGAAAGCCCAGCAAGCACCACAAGAACCCTGAAACAGATACAAGGTCACAAACGCAAATCACAGAAAATCATTTGAAATGACTTCTGTAACAAACTGGACAACACCCAATTACATCAGCTCTGTCCCTAGTTCCCAGAAACAGCTCCCCTGCTACAGTTTCCTTCTGCCTTTGACCATGGGAATGAAGACTAAACACTTGATTGTTATCTAGGCAAGGTCCAACCTTGAAAGAGATTTGCAATTGGCCAAACTCAGAGCATAGTGGTCATATTCAAATATATTAAGAAACAACACTCACTGAACATGTACCAAATCACACCTATCTTCACCCGTAAGCAAGGGAGATAGTTGCCTACAGTAACGAGATTTGAGAGAAGCTAGGATGATTTCCTTGACCTAAAATACCCTTTCTCCTGTCAAATGATGACTGAAACATAAGAAGTTTAATCCTAGGTTGGCATTTTTCAAACCTTATTATCCTCAGAATTTTTTTGATCAAAAAATACTTTACAAGGAGGCATAAACGAACAGAAAAAGGCAAATCTGCTTTAGTTTTAAAGGGGGAAAAATGTCCAGAGCCCCATCATAATTGTTCTCTTTCTGTCTTCTCCCCTCCTCCCACCTTGCTCTCCACCCAAAGAAGGCAAATTGACATTGCTTTTGGTTGAAGCAAAATTGCTCATTAAAATGCAAGCACCCAAAGAAAGGAGCTCATTAACTTACTCAGAGTTAACATCTAAATATGTCGTTTATTGGGTCTTCTAAAGCTGTTAGTTTAATCCGGTAAGAAATCCAAAACTAGTTGAAAGAAAAATATGTAGGTGGAAAAGAATAAGAGATTAGCAGTACCTTTCCTTCTTTTTGTTTTGTTTTGAGACAGGATTTCCACTCAGACTGAAGTGCAGTGGTGCGATCATGGCTCACTATAACCTCAACCTCCCAGGCTCAAGCAATCCTCCCATGTCAGCCCCACAAGTAGCTGGGACTACAGGTGTGCACATGCCTGGATAATTTTTATTTTTTTGTAGAGATAGGGCCTCATTATATTGCCTAGATTGGTTTCTAACTCCTGGGCTCAAGTGATCTTCCTGCCTCTGCTTCCTAAAGTGCTGGAATCACAGACATGAGCCACTGTGCCTGACCATCATTTACTTCCTAACACATTTTTACTTTCTTCATTGATCACAAGCTGGGGTAGCTGCTCAGAATGCTCTGATTCCTCTCACTTACCCTGACCTCTATGGTGACACGTGTGTTTTATCTCTAATTTAGGATTTTTGCAGATTTTTAAAACAAGCAAACTAAGGAAAATACAACAGCATAGGAACAATGATTTTATAAGGCACATAGTTCATATGCTAACAATTCAAGACTAGCCATGAATTAACTTGAGTGGCACAATTTATAAACCACTCTAGCTTTAGTTGTCTCTTCTCCTTCAACTCTGAAATTCACAAGTGAACTGGGGAGAGACTTCCTGATCACCGGGGTTCTCTCACACAACACCGCTTCTCAAGCAATTGGCTTGTTGGAGAGTCCAGTGTAGTCAAAGGGCAACAAGAGCAGTAAACGTCTGTCTTAAACACCTATTTGCTTAGTTCAGTGTTTGTCTAAGTAGGTGGCTCTGTGACCACTTAGACAAGCACTGTGGGACCTGAATGCAGGGGCTCACGCCTCTAATCCCAACACTTTGGGAGGCGAAGGTGGAAAGATCACTTGAGTTCAGGAGTTTGAGACAGCTTGGGCAACATAGCAAAACCCACCTCTTCTAAAAATACACACAAAAAAATAAAAATAAAAATAAAGCAGGTTGTGGTGGTGTGTGCTTGTAGTCACTCTGTAGGTTGAGGCAGGAGGATCACTTGAGCCCAAGAGGCAGAAGTTGCAGTAAGGCTAGATTGCACCACTGCAGTTCAGCCTGGGCAACAGAGGGAGACCCTGTCTCAAAATAAAAAACAAAAAACCACTGTAGGGAATCCAGTTGTCCCTCAGTATCAACAAGGAATTGGTTCCAGGACTCCTGAGTATACCAAAAGTCAAGAACGTTTAAGTCCCTTATATAAATGACTGAGTATTGCATATAACCTACACATCCTCCTAAATGCCTTTTTTTTTTTTTTAAGATAGGGTCTCACTCTTTTGCCCAGGCTGGAGTGCAGTCACGCAATCTCAGTTTACTGTAACCTCTGCCCCAGGTTCAAGTGAGTCTCCTGCCTCATCCTCCCAGGTAGCTGGGATTACAGGTACCTGCCACCACACTGGCTAATTTTTGTGTTTTTAGTACAGACAGGGTTTCACCATGTTGGCCAAGCTGGTCTTGAACTCCTGACCTCAAGTGATCTGCCTCCCTTGGCCTGGAAAAGTGCTGGGATTACAGGCATGAGCCACGATACCCAGCCCTCCCATATTCTTTTCTTTCTTTCCTTCTTTCTTTCTTTCTTTCTTTTCTTTCTTTCAAGATGGAGTCTCACTCTTGCTCAGTCTGGAGTGCAGAGGTGAGATCTTAGCTCGCTGCAACCTCTGCCTCCCAGGTTCAAGTGATTCTCCTGCCTCATCCTCCCAAGTAGCTGGGATTACTGGCACGTGCCACCAGGCCCAGCTAATTTTTGTATTTTTAGTAGAGATGGTGTTTCATTATGTTAGCCAACCTGGTCTCAAACTCCTGGCCGCAGGTGATCCGCCTGCTTCAGCCTCCCAAAGTACTGGTATTATAGGTATGAGCCACCGTGCCTGGCCTATTTTTTATTTTAATTTTTTTCTGGATATTTTTGATCCATGGTTGGCGGAATCTGCAGATGTGGAACCTGTGGATATGGAGGGCCAACTGTATAAACAAAGTATAATATGTGATCCTTGCCCACAAGCAACTTAAAATTTAGTTGGGAAGACAAGAATAACAAAAACAATTAGAATGTAACATGTGGGACTGTAAGATTGCCTGTCAAATTCTGTAGCTAAACTAAGCATTTAAAGAGAGCTCTACCTAGGGTTCAGAGGCTTGGGATGGTAATACTCACTTGATATTTCACTTCAGTAACACACCCCTTTTCTCTCCAGTCCACAGAATCAGGCAACATCTGATTAGGGTTTGACTTATATGTGATATTTCTCTGCCACTGGTTGGGAACTCTCAGGGAACTCATCAAAGACATCACTTCTTCACTGGTCTACAAAGCAAATATACAGTCAGGCATCATTTAATGACTGGAATACATTCTGAGAAATGCATCGTTAGGTGATTTTGTCATTGTGCAAACACCATAGTGTGTATTTACACAAACCTAGAGAGTATCAGCTCCTACATACCTAGGCAGTATGGTAGGGCCCATTGCTCCTTGACTACAAACCTGCATGGCATGGTACTGTACTGAAGGTTGTAGGCATTTGTAGAATATGAAGTACTTGTGTATCTAAATATAGCTAAACATAGAAAAGGTACAGTGAAAATACAGTATAAAAAGTAAAAATGGGGGCTGGGGGCAGTGGTTCACCCCTGTAATCCCGGCACTTTGGGAGGCCAAAGTGGGCAGATCACCTAAGGTCAGGAGTTGGAGACCAGCCTGGCCAACATGGTAAAACCCTGTCTCTACTAAAAATACAAAAATTAGCCGGGTGTGGTGGTGTACGCCTGTAATCCCAGCTACTCGGGAGGCTGAGGCAGGAGAAACGCTTGAGCCTGGGAGGTGGAGGTTGCAGTGAGCCGAGATTGCATCACTGCACTCCAGCCTGGGCAACAGAGCGAAACGCCATCTCAAAAAAAAGGAAAAATAGTACCCCTATATAGCGCATTTATCATGAAATGACTGCAGTCACTCTGGGTGAGTCAGTGAGTGAGTGGTGAGTGAATGTGAAGGCCCAGGGCATTACTGGAGACTTTATAAACACAGTACATTTAGGCTACACTCAATTTGTTAATTTTTTTTTTCTTTCTTCACTAATAAATTAACCTTAGTTTACTGCAACTTTTTTACTTAATAAACTTTTAATTTTTTAAATGTTTTGTCTTTTACAGTAATACCTTAAAATACAAACACATTGTATAGCTGTACGAAAATATTTTCGTCTTTATAGCCTTCTTTTATAAGCTTTTTTCTATTTTTAATTTTTTAAAACCTTTAAACTTTTTTGTTAAAAACTAAAATACACACACCCACACACATTAGACTAAGCCTATACAAGGTCAGGATCATCAATATCACTGTATTCCATCTCCACCTCTTGTCCCACTGGAAGGTCTTCAGGGGCAATAACACACATGGAGCTGTCTCCTCTGATAACAGTGTTTTCTACTGGATACCTCCCGAAGGACCAGCCTGAGGCTGTTTTACAGTTAACTTTTTAAAAGTATGCCTATACTCTAAGATAACAATTAAAAGTATAGTATAGTAAATACATAAACCAGTAATGTAGTGGTTTATTACTATGAAGCATTTTGTACTGTGCATAATTTTACGTGCTATACTTTTATACCACTGGCAGAGCAATGGGTTTATTTACAGCAGCATCACTACAAACAGGTGCTGGGATTACTGGTGTGCTGTGAAACAAGTGTGCTGTGCTACGTTGTTAGGATGGCTACAACATCATTAGCTAGGCAAGAGGTCCTTTTCAGCTCTATTATAATCTTAAAGTAACACCATGGCATATTCGGTTCATCAATGCCCAAAATGTATATGGCCCACGACTGGATATCTCCTTCCTTCCTTCCTTCCTTCTTTCACCAGAGTTTCACTCTTATTGCCCAGGCTGGACTGCAATGGCGCAATCTTGGCTCACTGCAACCTCCACCTTCTGGATTCAAGCAATTCTGCTGCCTCAGCCTCCCCAGTAGCTGGAATTACAGGCGCACACCACTACGGCTGGCTAATTTTGTATTTTTAGGATAGATGGGGTTTCTCTATGTTGGACAGGCTGGTCTCAAACACTCGACCTCAGGTGATCAACCCGCCTCGGCCTCCCAAAGTGCTGGGATTACAGGCCTGAGCCACCACACCCAGCATATCCTTATTTCCAATATCCTAATAACTGTAACTGTGAATATATTTTAAAACTGACATGGAATAAAAAACTGAGAAAAACCAGTAATAGTTGTGACCAGCATAGGTTCCATTAGGAGCTGATTGGGTGAATTATCTGTGTTTGTTTAGTTTCACACTTGCCACTAGCATCCCAATTAGGCACCCTCATGGGAGAGGAGAAAAGAGAATGGTAAAAACCAGAAGTCACAGGGAGCCAGATTTTTGTTTCAAAGCAAGGCAGAATTTCATAAAAGGGCTATCTAAAAAGTGGACTAAACTGGTTTCCCATGTGACAAGGAATTACAAAAGAGATTCCTGCATTTAAGAAGGAATTTAGTCTACCTAGGGTGTTCTCTTGTTCACTTTGGCCACAGTGGTAAAGTTTTATAGCGCAGAACAGAATCTGAAAACCAATAGGAGATTATCTGTGATTTTAAATATCCACATGCTCCCATTAAGAAAGCAGATAGGGCTGGGCACGGTGACTCACACCAGTAATCCCAGCATTTTAGGAGGCTGAAGCAGGCGGATCAAAAGGTCAAGAGATGGAGACCATCCTGGCCAACATGGTGAAACCCCATCTCTACTAAAAATACAAAAAATTAGCCGGGCATGGTGGTGCGTGCCTGTAGTCCCAGCTACTCGGGAGGCTGAGGCAGGAGAATTGCCTAAACCCAGGAAACAGAAGTTTCAGTGAGCCCGGATCGTCCCACTCTACTCCAGCCTGGTGAAAGAGCAACATTGTGTCTCAAAAAAAGAAAAGAAGAAAGCAGAAAGCATATGGACCATTTTAAATTGTCAGCCTAGACTTAAATAAGTATGGCAACTTACTATACAAGCTAAAAGCCTGTTGATAGTCTTTAGGCAGTACTTCCTAGAATTTATAAAAAAACAAAACAGTGGTAGTCTGTGAGTTTAAAATTTCCTCTACAGAAGAGATTTGTTAAAGAAAGCAGTCAAAGTAGAACTAAGTAAGAATTTCTGTACACGTTCTTACGTTCTTAAATTCTTCTGCCTTCCAACTTGGTACTACACATTCCTTTGTTGTTGTTGCTGTTTACCTTCAAATTGCTTTTGAGGAGATAGAAAGGAAATGATGCTTACCCAGACACAAAAGTGGGATTCCTTGTAATGTACCTACCATGTCTCCCAGGTGGTTCATGCCCAGATCATATGAGTGCATTCCCATTGAATGCTCCAGGTTGTGAAGCATCACAAACTTTAGATTCTTCTCCCAGATGAGACGTCGTACTGCTTCTTCATTCTAAAACACAGTGAAGAAGAATATAGTCATACTGCATCCCTGACAAGTAAGTGTTCGATGATGAAAATGGCTTTTTTTTTTTTTGAGATGGAGTCTCAGTCTGTCGCCGAAGCTGGTGTCCCGTGGCGAAATCTCAGCTCACTGCAACCTCTGCCTCCCGGGTTCAAGTGATTCTCCTGCCTCAGCCCCCCAAGTATCTGGGATTACAGGCATGCGCCACCACGCCCAGCTAATTTTTGTATTTTTAGTAGAGATGGGGTTTTACCATGTTGTCCAGAATAGTCTCAGTCTCTTGACCTCGTGATCTGCCCACCTCAGCCTCCCAAAGTGCTGGGATTACAGGTGTGAGCCACTGCACCCAGCTGAAAATGGCATTTTTGAAGCATTCTACCAAATATGGATCTGCCTGAGAGCATGAAAATAAATGAATATATCCAATATAACTGCTAACTTCACATATTAATCTTAATTCTTGCTCTTAATTGCTTTGATGGTGATTAATATTATTTTGATAAACAATGAATTTTCTTCTTTTAAAAATTTATTATTATTGGTTTTCATTTTTTTTTTTAGAGAGAGAGTCTCACTCTGTCACTCAGACTGAATGGAGTGCAGTGAAGTATTGTGATTACTGCTCACTGCAGCCTTGACCTCTTGAGACCCAGCAATCTTCATACCTCAGCCTCCTGTATAGCTGGGATCACTAATGTATGTCACTGCAGCCAATTTTTTTTTTTGTTTTGTTTTGTTTTGGTAGAGACTGGGTCTCCCTATGTTGCCCAGGCTCATCTTGAATTCCCGGGCTCAAGCAATCCTCCATCAGCCTCTCAAAGCGCTGGGATTATAGGTGTGAGCCACGGTGTTCAGCATTTTTTTTTTTTTTTTGACAAGAGTCTTGTTCTGTTACCCAGGCTGGAGTACAGTGGTGTGATCACAGCTCACTGCAGCCTCAAGCTCTTGGGCTCAAACTATCCTCCCATCTCAGCTGCCCAGGTAGCTAGGACTACAAGCATACACCACCACAACCAGCTTATTATTATTATTATTATTATTATTATTATTATTGGAGAGACAGGGTCTCCCTATGTTGCCCAGGGTGGTCTCAAACTCCCGACCTTAAAGAATCCTTCCCCGGGCCGGGCATGGTGGCTCAAGCCTGTAATCCCAGCACTTTAGGAGGCCGAGGCGGGTGGATCACGAGGTCAAGAGATCGAGACCATCCTGGTCAACATGGTGAAACCCCGTCTCTACTAAAAATACGAAAAATTAGCTGGGCGTGGTGGTGTGTGCCTGTAATTCCAGTTACTCAGGAGGCTGAGGCAGGAGAATTGCCTGAACCCAGGAGGCGGAGGTTGCGGTGAGCCGAGATCGCGCCATTGCACTCCAGCCTGGGTAACGAGAGCGACACTCCGTCTCAAAAAAAAAAAAAAAAAAAAAAAAAAAGAATCCTTCCCCGTTGGCCTCCCAAAGTGCTGGGATTATGGGCGTGAACCATGCATCCAGTCATGATTTTCTTTCTTTTTGATGTTTTATAACTTCATTACGTGTATCTAGGTGTAGGTTTCTTTATTTACCTTCAGCTGTGTACTTTTGATTGGCTGACTCAGGACCTTTTCTCGTATCTGGAAAATTCTCAACCAGTGTCTCCGCATATATTTCTTCTCCACCATTCCATCTAATTCTCTTGTTCAGAAACTCCTGTCTGAATTATTTTGGAGCCTCAGACTCTCTCTCACCTCTCTGACTTGTGATTTCATAGATTCTTCTTTTTATTTCTAGGTGCTGCATTCTGGGTGAATGCCTCAGCACTATATTTTAGATTACTGATTCTATTCAACTCTTTCCAGTCTGGGGATCATTTTCATTTTTATTGTAATGACAATATTTTTTTATTTCCAAAGTTTCTAATTTATTTTACAATTTCTTTTTCATTAGTGTGCATATTATTCCTTTATATATAGTCTTTTGAAAAGTCATTTTTGGTTCTATTATTTTAATTTTATTCAGAGTGAATTTTTACACACTGCCTGTCAATTTTCTTTTCCTCTAGGAGATTCATTTACATAGAAAACAATGAGGTGGAAGGGCAAGGTGGATGGTGCCTCCTAGAATAGCTGCAGCCAGAGTTTCCCATAAGCGAGAACCCCAGGGAGCAGTTAGCACAACTCTGTTCTGCCTCATTTCATTGAGCGGGTGAGGCCAGGCCCAGACCCTAGTTTGAGGCACTGGGTTGCGAGTCTGGATGCAGGTTTCTCTCCCTTGGAGCAAGGTTTTACTATTACCCTGGTAATGGACACAATGGGCATGCATGATGGGCATACTTTCAGACCACACGATGAGAAGCAATGGCATAAAGACAAACAAATCTAAGTACAAGAAAGGAAAAGAAAAAAAAGAAGTGCACTTTGCAGTCAATATTAAAGTAGGATGCTAATCAAAAGTCATGTTCATTCCTCCTGAGGGATTGGAATTATTAAAAAAAAAAAAAAAAAAGGAATAGCATTCATTTAACCAGATAGTGGTGCTAATTGCACATTTAACTCCAGTCAACCTTGAAATGAGGAACCTGGTCATAAAGGGTGTGGGTGAGGGTGAAATTCATCACCACAAAGGAAACCATATGATCATTTCAATAGATGCAGAAAAAGCATTTGACAGAATTCAACATCTTTTCATGACAAACATTCTCAAGAAATTACATATAGAAGGAATGTCCCTCAACACAAATAGGCCATATATGACAAGACTACAGCTAACACCATGCTCAACTGGGTGAAAATTTAAAGGCCGTTTTGCTAAGATCAGAAAAAAACCAAGGTACACACTCTCTCACCATTTCTAGTCAATATAGTACTGAAAATCCTAGCCAGGGCAATTAGGCAAGAAAAAAAATACAAGGCCTCCAAATAAGAAAGGAAAGAAGTGAAAAGAAGAAAATAATAAAAATAAAAACAAAGATAAAAAAAGAAAGGGAAGAAGTGAAATTGCCTTTGTTTGTTGATGACATGATTATATAGAAAATCTTGGTCAGGTGTGGTGACTCATGCCTGTAATTGCAGTACTTTGGGAGGTTGAGGTGGGAGGACTGTATGAATCAAGAAGTTCAATACCAGCCTGGACAACATGGCAAGACACCGTCTCTACAAAAAACAAACACAGAAATTAGCACGTGTGGTGGCATGTGCCTGCAGTCCCAGCTACTTGGAAGGCTGAGGCAAGAGAATCACTTGAGCCGGGAGTTTGAGGCTGCAGTGAGCTATGATCACACCACTTCACTCCAACCTGAGTGACAAAGCAAAGCAAGATCTCATCTCAAAAAAAAAAAAAAAAAAAAAAAAAAAAAAAGGCCAGGTGCAGTGGCTCACATCTGTAACCCATTTTGGGAGGCCAAGGTAGGTGAATCATGAGGTTGGCAGTTTCAGACCAGCCTGACCAACATGGTGAAATCCCGTCTCTACTAAAAATACAAAAACTAGCTGGGCATGGTGGCACGCACCTGTAATCCCAGCTACTCAGGAGGCTGAGGCAGGAGAACTGCTTGAACCCAGGAGGCAGAGATTACAGTGAGCAGAGATCGCGCCACTGTACTCCAGCCTGGGTGACAGAGCAAGACTTCATCTCAAAAAGGCCAAAAAAAAAAAAAAAAAAAAGAGAGAGAAAAGAAAAGAAAGAGAAAATCTTAAAGACTCAATCAAAAAACTATTAGAACTGATATATGAATGCAGAAGTAGGACACAAAGTAAACGTACAAAAGTCAGTAGTGTTTTTATACACTAATAACTATTTGCAAAAGAAATTAGGAAAACAATTCTATTTACAATAGCACTGAAAACATACTTAGGAGTAAATTTAACCAAGGAGTTGAAAGGTTGTATGCTGAAAACTATAGAACATTGATGAAAGAAATTGAAGACAAAATACATAAATAGAAAGGTAGTCCACGCTCATGGATTGGAAGAATTAATATTGCTAAAATGTTCATACTACCCAAAGCAAACTAGAAATTCAGTGCAATCCCTATCAAAATTCCAATGTTATTCTTCACAGAAATAGAAAAAAGCAATCCTCAAATTCATATGTAACTACAAAAGTCCTCAAATAGTCGAAGCAATCTTTAGCAAGAGGAACAAGGCTGGAGGCATTACAGTACCTAATTTCAAAATATATTACAAAACCATAGTAATTTAAACATCATAATACTTGCATAGAAACAGATGCATTTACCAAGGGAATAGGATATAGAGCCCGGAAATAACCTGCAATTTTATGGTCAGTCGATTTTCAGCAAAGATGCCAAGAACACGCAATGGGGAAAGGATAATCTCTTTAATAAATAGTATTGGGAAAACTGGCTATCCACATGCAGTAAAATGAAACTGAACCCTTATGTCATTCCATATACAATAATCAACTCAAAATGAATTAAAGCATAAATATAAGGCCTGAAACTATACAACTACTCTAAGAAGATACAGGGGATAACTTCGCAACATTGGTTCGGGTGATGGTTTTTTGGATATGACCCCTAAAGCATAGGCAACAAGAGCAAAAATAGACAAATGTGACTCCATCAAACTAAAAAGCTTTTGTACAATAAAGGAAACAACAGAGTGAAAGGATAACTCATAGATTGGGAGAAAATATTTGCAAATTATACATTTGATAAGGTACTAATATCCCAAATATAGAAGGAGCTCAAAGTAACCAATAACAAGAAAACAATGCTGTTTAAAAATGGGCAAAAGACCTGAATAGACATTTCTCAAAAGTAGACACATACAAATGGCGAATAGATACATGAATAAATGCTCAATATCACCAATCATCAGGGAAATGGAAATTAAAACCACAAGGAGATATCATCTCATATCTGTTAGAATGGCTATTATCAAAAGGATGAAAGATAAGGTGTGGAGAAAAGGGAACCCTTATACACTGTCAGTGGGAATGTAAATTAGTATAGCCATTTTGGAAAACAGTGTGGAGGTTCCTCAGAAAACTAAAAATATAATTACCACATGATCCAGCAATCTCACTTCTGGGTACATGTCCCAAGGAAGTGCAATCAGTATGTCAGCGAGATAGCTGCACTTCCATGTTCATTGTAGCATTATTCACAATACCCAAGACATGGAACTAACCTTATAAAGTATCCATCAAAAGATGAATCAATAAAACAGTGTGGTACATACTGTATTCCATCCACAATGCAATATTATTTAGCCTTAAAAAAGAAGAAAATTCTGTCATTTCCAACAACATGAATGGGTCCACAGAACATTATGCTAAGTGAAATAAGCCAGGCACAGAAAGACAAATACTGCATAATCCCACTTACATGTGGAATCTCAAAAAGTTGAACTCATAGAAGTAGGAGTAGAATGGTAGTTAGCAGAGGCTGGGAGAAGGGTAGACAGGGAAAGGGGAGATGTTAGTCACCGAGTATAGCGTTTTCATTTAGACAGGAGAATAAGCTCCAGCAATCTACCACAGCATGGTGACTACAGATAATAATGTATTTTATATTTTAAAATTACGTAAAGGATAGATTTTATGTTTATTTATTTTTTTTTTGAGACGGAGTTTCGCTCTTGTTACCCAGGCTGGAGTGCAATGGCGCGATCTCGGCTCACCGCAACCTCCGCCTCCTGGGTTCAGGCAATTCTCCTGCCTCAGCCTCCTGAGTAGCTGGGATTATAGGCACACACCACCACGCCCAGCTAATTTTTTGTATTTTTAGTAGAGACGGGGTTTCACCATGTTGACCAGGATGGTCTCGATCTCTTGACCTCGTGATCCACCCGCCTCGGCCTCCCAAAGTGCTGGGATTGCAGGCGTGAGCCACCGCACCTGGCCTGAAAGGATAGATTTTAAATGTCTCATCACAAAGAAAGGATAAGTATGTGAGGTGCTGAATATGTTAACTAGCCTAATTTAATCATTCTGCAATGTATATGTGTATCATAACATCACATTGTACTCCATAAATATACACAATTATTATTTAATTAGAAATAAATAAAAATGAAACAGTAAATAATCTAAGTGTCATTTTTATACAAAATAATATGTCAAATAAATATATGATGCTAACTTACAAACAGAAATATTATATAGTTACAGGACTAAGTTACTTAAAGCAATAGGGTTAAGATCTTAACATCAGTGAGAATGCTTTGAAATAAAAATAAAACTACAAAATGGGAAGTGACAGCCAAGCAACATCTGGTCGCACTATGTGGGTAATAAGGTCTTTTTAATCCTCACCCGTCTCAAATATGGCCCTTCCTCAGGGGCTTGTGCTCATTTGCCCTTGGCCTGAGACCTTCATTACACATTTTGCTTGCTCCCTGGTTTCCATCAATTCTCTGCTCAAATGGAACGCTTATCCGTGAGCCTTTCCCTTACCCTTGTATCTCATAGATAGAATTCTTGCCGCCACCACCACCCAGGACCCTTTCTACTCTCTATGCCTTCCTTTATTTTTATCTACAACACTTATCACCATCTAACAAACTATGTATCTGGTTATTTATTTTCTTATTTCCTGTCTCTCTCACTATAATATAAGCTCTAAAAAAGGAATTTTGTTTTGATTCCTGCTGTATGGTACCAAGAACAGTATCTGGCAAGAAACAAGTACATAATATTTATTTATTTATTTTTGAAAGAGTCTCACTCTGTCACCCAGACTGGAGTGCAGTGGTGCGATCTCGGCTCACTGCAACCTCCGCCTCCCAGGTTCAAGCAATTCTGCCTCGGCCTCCCGAATAGCTGGGATTACAGGCACCTGACACCACGCCTGGCTAATTTTTGTATTTTTAGTATGTTGGCCAGGCTGGTCTCGAACTCCTGACCTCAGGTGATTCACCCATCTGGGCCTCCCAAAGTGCTGGGATTACAGGCGTGAGCCACCGTGCCCAGACTAAATATTTACTGAAAACACTGCCTGTAAGAACGCAATTTTGAGGGGTAGAAAATAGTACTCCTGTAAAAACATATCACTCGAGTGGCGATTGGATCCAATCTACCTTTTCTTTATATTGTTTGCCGTAGGTTTTCTTCCAGAGATTCCAGTGGTGATCCAGGGTGGGATCTTTATGCAACTGTGTCACCGCAGAGGAGCACACAAACAGCACACAAACCAGCTGCTTCATTCTGTGCAAAGAAAGGTAACATAGGACGTGTAGCTATTAACTGCATATGTTGTCACCGTATTTTTCATAACAGAAAATAACAACGTGACGTCTGTCAAAGGGACAGACTATTATACATCAAAATGGTACAGGAAAATTCCTGGTATATAGTCACAGGGAATAACTGCAAATTTATGTCTGAAATACTACTTCCAATACTTAATAGCACTTAAAAAAGTGATTTCTGGCCGGGCGCGGTGGCTCACGTCTGTAATCCCAGCACTTTGGGAGGCCGAGGCGGGTGGATCACAATGTCAAAAGATCAAGACCATCCTGGCCAACATAGCGAAACCCTGTCTCTACTAAAAATACAAAAAATTAGCTGGGCGTGGTGGCATGAGCCTGTAGTCCCAGCTACTCGGGAGGCTGAGGCAGGAGAATTGCTTGAACCTGGGAGGCGGAGGTTGCAGTGAGCGAGATCGCGCCATTGCACTCCAGCTGGTGACAGAGCGAGACTCAGACTCAAAAAAAAAAAAAAGAGATTTCCAGGAGTTTCCCAATATCTGGTAAACCAAACACATCTAGGGGGTTAGAAAACAGGGGCTTCCCAGGATTTGCTGGCAAATTTAATAAAAGGAAATCTCTCTCTCTCGCTTTTGGGAAAAAAAAAAAAAAATCCTTAAGAAGAGGACAAACCTCTGAAAAATCAGTTTATCGTCTGAATTTTTGAATACAGGAGCTTTTCTTAACTGACCTGTTTAAATATCCACAATCTTTACAGATAGTTAAAAGACAACTCTCATCTATTGCTTTCACATCTTTAGGTAGATAATTTTCCTTTTTTTTTTTTTCAATGTCAGACATCTGTTTCAAATGAAACAATTAACTACCCTTTATTTTTTATGTTTTCTCCTTGCTCCTTCCTTAACTACTCTTTAAAATGGCACTTCTATATTTAATTCCAAGAGACTTCAACAGAAATTCGGTAACTAGCTCCCTCGAACTGGATTCTACTTTCTTTTTCATTGAAAACATCTGGAATTTTAAACATGTAAACTTTCCAATTATATTCCAAAGAAAGCCACGTTTCAGCCTCAATTTAGATGCATAGATGCTCAAGCAGACATTAACTTTTTAAAAATAGAGAAGAGACAAATTGAGTGAAACGATTTTTTAGTTTACTTCCTGAAAGCAAGATTTAAAACCTAGTGGGCAGAACAAGCTACGAACACAAAGTGTTTGAAGACCAAATGAGAGAAAAAGAACAGTACATACGTGATAGAACCAGCAGGTGCTCCCATGGTAAGGGTCCTTAACTTGGTGGGCTCTCTTCTCAGATTTCAAAGGCAAGGAGATTTCAGTTCAATTGACTTTAAAAAGAAATTGGAACTTGTCACATGAGGTACCCACAATGAGGAAGTGAACTTTCAGTTTCATTTAAAATCTAGCTAGCTCAGTCACCTCTAGTCCTCTCCCTATGGTCTTGGGGACAAAGGGGATAATGTAAGCCATCAAAAAGAGCCCTTGGCAGGGCACGGTGTCTCACACCTGTAATCCCAGCACTTTGGGAGGCCAAGGCGGGTGGATCACCTGAGGTCAGGCGTTCGAGACCAGCCTGGCCAACATAGTGAAATCCCATCTCTACTAAAAATACAAAAAAATTAGCCGGTCGTGCTGGCAGGCACCTGTAATCCCAGCTACTTGGGAGGCTGAGACAGGAGACTTGCTTGAACCCAGGAGGCAGAGTTTACAGTAGCCGAGATGGCGCCACTGCACTCCAGCCCGGGCAACAGTGCGAGACTCTGTCTCGGGGGGCGGAGGGGGAAAGCCCTTGGCTAGGACCAGTGGCTCATGCCTGTAATCCCAGCACTTTGGGAGGCCAAGGCAGGAGGATCACTTGAGGCCAGGAGTTCAAGACCAGCCTGGGCAATATAGCGAGACCCTGTCTCAGTAGATAGAGCTAGGAAATATCTTTTTTTAAAAAAAATTAAATAGATCACAAACTCACACTGATACTTCAACTTCAAATTCAAGATTATAGGGTTTACACAACCCCATCAATCTTCAACTTCTTTTCAAACATGCTTAAAAAATCTGAGTTCTCTAAAATATCAACTCAAGTATTTCTTTAATTTATCCTGTAAATTTGCAGGATAACAACAACAAGCCTATGGCCAATAAGATTATTAATGAAAACAAATTAGAAAGTTTAAATGGGAGGGTTATATTAAGCCATATTCCGCTAAGGATGTAAGTCAATTACTGTGTTCTGAAGTCACCTGAATGTATGGTTATTGCCACCACTTCCATACAATTAGGTTTATTTGGTTCATTTCACTTTTTCCTTTTAGGAATTGCTTTTTACACTTGTAATTTTGTTTTATAATTACAATGAGGTATATTTAAATAATTCTAGCCTCTTTTTTTGTCTGCTTTACACGATTTCCTTTTTCCCTTGGTTGGTAATCATTTAAACAATTTATGATTTATTACCCATTTAAAAATATGCAAATATGCCTATATATTAATAATCCTCCATCTTTTTATTTCAGTACTCCTCCCTCTTAAGTGAACACTAATATACATACTTTTCTCTATCTTGTTTTTTCACTTAACATTTTTTTCTTTATTTCAGTCAATCACTTTACATTTTATTAAGAAAAATTATTCAGGAGAAAGAGATTATCAGGTGTCGTTTCAGTGGCATGCTGGGTATTATTTAGTGAACCTTTACAGGAATTGTTTGATTCTTTTCAGAGTTAAGTTGTAAAAAAAACTGATAACTATGCAAATGATCCCTATACAAGGCAATGCAAATAAATTTTGTGTTGTAGATTTTGCTGAATAGAGAATATAGACCTCTAATTCTTTTTTTTTTTTTTTTTTTTTTTTTTTTGAGACACAGCCTCACCCTGTATCACCCAGGCTGGAGTTCAGTGACGCGATCTCTGATCTCGGCTCATTGCAACCTCCACCTCCTGGGTTCAAGCATTCTCTTGCCTCCTCTTCCTGAGTAGCTGGGATTACAGGCGTGCACTACCACGCCCAGCTAATTTTTGCATTTTTAGTAGAGATGGGGTTTCACCATGTTGTCCAGGCTGGTCTCAAACTTCTGACCTCAGGTGTTCCACCAATCTAGTCTTCCCAGAGTGCTGGGATTACAGGCATGAGCCACTGTGCCTGGCCTCAAATTCTTATTTGAACTAATTTTAATCTTACTGATCCCTTATCAATTAATGAGTTAAATAAAATCTTTGACACGTTCATTGTATATTTGTTATAGGAGTCATGTTCTCAGCTTTTTAGAAACTGGCAATTAAATTCTGATAACTCCACAGTAGTATACATAGTGTTCATTTATTTTTATGGCCATGTAGCATCTTTCGAACAATATTCCTATGTCTGGAGAATTTCCCTCATTATAAATTTTGCTTCTCCCAGTTGAAGCCAAAACTCCATCTTCAAGGCTCCAATGCAGTTAAGGCACAGACATGAGAACTAGCCTTTGTCAGTCAGACACACCTGCATAGAACATTATTTTGCAAGTGATTTTACATACCATAAGTATGTAAAATCCTTCTTTTTTTTTATTTTTTTTTATTTTTGAGACAGAGTTTTGCTCTTGTTGCTCAGGCTGGAGTGCAGTGGCGTGATCTTGGCTCACTGCAACCTCCGCCACCCGGGTTCAAGCTATTCTCTTGCCTCAGCCTCCCGAATGGCTGAGATTACAGGCATACGCCACCATGTTTGGCTAATTTTTGTACTTTTAGTAGAAATGGGATTTCTCCATGTTGGTCAGGCTTTTCTTGAACTCCTGACCTCAGGTGATCCACCCACCTTGGCCTTCCAAGTTGCTGGGATTACAGGCGTGAGCCACCATCCGCGCCCAGCCTAAAATCCTCCTTTTGCTGAGAATGGCAGTAGAGCTGTCTCCCAGCAGCAGCAGCAACAGTGGCAGCAGCAGATATTCTAACATCTGGTCCCCGGTGTCACCTGTTCAAGCTGTAGTGTTTATGTCAAATACTGTGTTTGCTCAGTGGCATCATATGGTTTTTTTTTTTTTTTTTTTTTTTTTGAGACGGAGTTTCGCTCTTGTTACCCAGGCTGGAGTGCAATGGCGCGATCTCGGCTCACCGCAACCTCCGCCTCCTGGGTTCAGGCAATTCTCCTGCCTCAGCCTCCTGAGTAGCTGGGATTACAGGCACCCGACACCATACCCAGCTAATTTTTAGTATTTTTAGTAGAGACGGGGTTTCACCATGTTGACCAGGATGGTCTCGATCTCTTGACCTCGTGATCCACCCGCCTCGGCCTCCCAAAGTGCTGGGATTACAGGCTTGAGCCACCGCGCCCGGCCGCCAGTGGCATCATATGTTGAGCAGTCCCCTCTGTGTGGATTGGGTGAGGTTTGTGGTTACACAGTGAACAAACCTTATGGCCTTTCACAGATTCTTCGAGCTTCCTGCACTTCTTAAATAAACCGTAGTGCCCAGATACGTGAACCAAGTAATGACATTGACAGCTGTGCTGCGTTTGGAAAAACAAGGGTGGAGTCTCAAAAGCTAGACTGGGTAAGGTGCTTTTCTCAGGCTGCGAACAGAGGAAACTCAGGAAGAACGCTATTGCGGAACTCTTCGTAATTTCAGATTGCCTTCTCTAACCTTCTCTACGCATCTGATCTCATACCTGATTTTTTTTTCTTTTTTTTGCTTTTAGCCTTGATACCTTTATATGTATTTCTACCTCCAGAAATATGTAGTTCCATTTCCTTAATGAGGAAATGAGCATAGGAAGACATTTCTTTCCATCAAGGTTAAAATGATAGACAACTGTTTTACAAGGTACCATGTATTTTTCCAGTCATTATTTCTCTGTCTGACAGGGTCTATAAATCTACACTCAGTACGGAGCATAACCACGGTGATTAGGCTACAGCACACCTTCTGCCTCCATTCCTGGGTCTTACCTACAGGGAACTGTGTATGAAATTTTGTCTCTAGCTGTTTCAGGTAATCTTCTACCAAGTGGGAAAAAAAATTCGGGGTTGTGTTTTCTAGTGGTCCTGTAAACAGGATTCAGGATGGCAGCAGCCATCTTTCTTTCTAAATCCATAAATTAATTCCAGATTTACCATGAAACTAAGCTGAGTTGGTCCCAAAATGAAACAGGCCTGTCAGGGACAGACCCACCTCCCCCCAGCCTGCCTTTGGACTCAGTAAGTAAGCAGAGACTATGTTTGTCTGATACACGTGACTCCTGGTTAATATGTAGGTTGTAGAAGAAATCAAAATTTGACTTATGGAAGGCAGGGAGAATAGAAATGAATTACCTTCTGTGAGAAAAAGAACAAGTGACGTATTAACCTTTATTGTATTTTCTGTTGTCAGGGCGTGGCTGTCAAAGCGTTCGCGCATGTCTCGGTTCTGCCGTCTTTGGCTATAAGGCCTGGAGCAAGTGAGTCAACATGGCCGTGGCTCACTTCCTACGCATAAGTGAGAAAATTCTCACTCAGTGGCAACTAAACAGCGGAAGACACCAGCAGTAGAATGTAATCATAATGTCGCTCCCTGAGGTGGTAAGGTTTGACAGTTCCGGTGAATGATTCCTAAGTCCATTCCTTTTGCTGAACAAGTTTCTGAGAAAGTACTCAGTATTTAGATAGATGATTATGAGCAAGTGCTACCATGTAGGGTACTCATTTGAAATACCAATACTCCTGACACTCATTTGTTAATGTTCCATTTGGGATCTTTTTGTCTGTGGGATTGGGGGGGTTTAATTACTACTGCTTGAACAAAAACAGCAAGTATTTTCTTGGAGGAAACAAAATCTTATTTAAAAACTTTTGTTAATTATGTAATTTCTCAGCATTGTTTTTGTGCTGTGGAAAGCACAATACTGATTCTTGGCACAATCTCAGGAGGAGGGATTGATGGCACGAGGTAACTACAAGGAGCTCTGAACTCTTTTTTTTGAGACAGAATCTTGCTCTGCCACCCAGGCTGGAGTGCAATGGCACAATCTCGGTTCACTGCAACCTCCACCTCCCAGATTTAAGCGATTTTCCTGCCTCGGCCTCCTGAGTAGCTGGGACAGCAGGCGCCTGCCACCATGCCTGGCTAATTTTTGTATTTTTAGTAGAGACGAGGTTTCACCATATTGGCCAGGCTGGTCTCAAACTCCTGACCCTGTGATCTGCCCACCTTGGCCTCCCAAAGTGCTAGGATTACAGGCGTGAGCCACTGCGCCCTCCCTAACTCTTATGAGTCAAGCACTTATCCTCTACACCAGCAGGACTAGCTCCTTTCTCAATTATTTTGGTGTCTTACTGTATGGATAACACAAA